TCACTGAAATAACTGTAAGAGATTTACACACTAGGGTGATAATAATTGTAAAAGCAATTATAATAACAAAATAAAAAATAATACACAGCCATTACTTGTGGAAGATAGTGATCTCAAATGTATTAAACCATCAGGATAAACTGCCAGGGAATCAATCATTTCATCCTACCCCAGGACCTGCTGGAAACCCCCAGTTTCCCTAGTTTTATGAGAGCCCAACAGGTTCAGAACCATTTGAACATGAGGAGGGACATTGTTCCAAAGTGTAGGCAGAACTACAAAGTATGGATGTCTAAGAGATCCCACAGAATAACAAGGCTTTACAGTTGGGATCTGGAGTGCATCAACTTTTCTTACTGGTTGGGCAGAAATGACAGGAGAAAGATAGTCCTAAAGATAACCAGGCCGTAAGGCATGTAGGGCTTATATGTGGCAACCAACACCTTAAATTGCACCCAGAATCCCAGTAGCAATTAGTACAACTAGTTTCCATGTGGTCTTCAAGGGTAGCCCTATGTAAAACATATTGTAATAGTCTAAACATTGTTTAATCACAAAGGAACTACTATATGAGTGACTGTGAAAAGGGCCTCCTGATCCAAGAAAGGATTAATTGGTATTCAAGGTAGATTTGTGCAAAAGTCTTCCTGGCCAAAGCTGTCACCTTATTTTTGAGTGGGAGCTAAGAGTCCAGGAGAACCACAAATTACATGCAAGATCTATTTGGGGAAGGGCAGCCCTGTTGAGAACTAAACATGGTAAATCCTTGTGATCAGGAGGTCCTTGAAACCAGGGTCACTCAGTCTTGCTAGAGGTAAGCTTCAGCCTGTGGCTCCTGATCTAAAAGCTTACAGGTTCCAGTTACTGGAAGCTTGTCTAACCCAAGGTTGAGATATACAGCTGGGTATAAACTATATACCAATCATACTTGAATCAGTCTCAACAGCTGACTTCACCCAGCTGCTTCATGTAAATTCTAAATAGGAGTGAAAGTGTGTCAAGCTTCACATAATAGGGACCTCAGACCTCTCTATCTTACCAACACAGATTGTAACAGGGCCCACAAGAAGTAGGATAACCATTGCAATAAAGTGCCTCCCACTCCAAGACCCTAGAAGTGTCCAGAAGGATACTATGATTAATGGGATCAAATGCTGCTGGAAGATCCTTCTGGACCATTAGTGTTATACCTCCCCTCTCCTGGTTCCTGGAAGGGTCATCCACAAATGTGATCAATGCCATCCCAATTCTGTAGCTGGACCTAAAGTCTTATTGAAAAGGGTCCTGGTAATGTGCTTACTCCAGAGACCTAACCCTCACTACTATCTCCTCAAAAAGGGGAGATTGGAGACAGGTAAAAAATGATTCAACATTGCTGGGCTTAGCAATGCTTCTGAAAGAGGAATGTACCACACTTTGTTCAAGACAATTGGGACAGTCCCCTCACCCAAGGATGATTTAGTTACTGCTTGTATCCAGCTATTATTTCCCAGGAAGCCTTGAGGGGCAAGGATCTAATATACAGGTGGTAGAACTAAAACCACTGAGATCCACTTCTTATAGATTCACAGGCTCAAATTCTTCCCATATGATAGGCAAAGGACCTGCCCAACTCGCATTCAACTCTGAATTAATCCAAGAGAGTTTATCTATTAGCTTCCTAGAATATTTTCCATAGGTTTTTTCTTCTGGCCAAGGAGAAAACTGGTTTTAGACCAACCAATTAACTTTTGATCATCTTTTACACTGGATTATTGGGCTGAAAACCATTCCATTCAGGTAAAAGAATCCCTTTATTTT